ACGAACCGAGAATGGTCTCTTTAAAAAATTTTTCTTGGGTGTGAGTTTTTAAATTGAAAAAAAAAAAAATACTAAGATTTCCTGAAAGCACGTCGCAAAATAGAATACTTGTACCAATCATAAAAGCAAAAAAAAGTATAACATCTGTGCAAGCCTAGTTTCATCCTTTATTAATACCAGGGAGTCTCTAGGAGTCACATAAAAGCCCCGAGGCAATACGCCAGGTGCAATGAATTTTAGGTGAATCGCCGCGTCGTATACATACGAATAAATATGTACATCCCTACACGTATAAAGCCGTCTCGCGTTGATGTTTCTGTACACAAGCACGTCCGCTGTGTAGCGTACATTTCGAATTTTACTACCCTCAACTTTTATCCTCAAGAGAACAGGTAAGGAAGAATGACTCAAGCTAGCCAATGAAAAGGCAGTATATTATTGGGGCGGCACGCATCAAAATGCGAAAATCTTTTTATGTCCAAGTGGGGGAAAATTTATGCTTCGGATCGAAAGTTCAAGCCGCGAGGATAGGATCTTTGATGACATATGGAAAGGAGTACTAGTATATTTTTTGAAAGTGAAAACAAAAAAAATTGTTTTCAAACTCGCAGCTGAGCGTTTGAGGTTTGATTTTTAGTAAAATACAGAGAACCGAGATGGAAAAAAATTTCTATCGGGGCAGTCTCGTACCAGCAACTAATCAATAAAGCGACGGTACACTTGTAAATGTAAATATCTGATACACGTAGTCAACACACACGGTATGAGGTGCATTGAAAGTTTACTTATTCGTTAATAATTTCTGTATGTACATATTTACGTAACTGATTAAATAATGTATAGTTCCAATTTCCGTTTGTAATAATTAATTATGATCAAATTTACCAATTAACTCTACATACTCAATGAATTTGTGTATTTACTAGTCATGAATTAGTTTATTTACTAATTGACAGATCAATTTAAAATCCTATGACTACTGGATAACATGAAACTAATTTTTGAACCACTACTGTTTCAACTCATTATTTGATCCAAAACGTGTAAAAATCACTCATACATTCGGGATGTAACTACAAGCAATTAAATGGTGCATTAATAATACATGTATTATAATCCATTCATACGGACCCAGTTAAACTGAACACTACTTAATTCTTAGTACCAATTAAACGTAAATCATATTTACCTTGTTTATAAAATTATTTAAGGTAGACGGGTTATGAAAAAAAATATACAGGTTTGAACAAAAATTAAATGTGTTGTAACTTAAGTAATAATAAACGTCCTTTCAAAAAATAAGGCAATATCTGTCTCACGCAGGAGATATGTTTTAATCCAAAGTCCGTGTTTTTTTTTTTTTTTTTTTTTTTTTTTTTTTTGTTCTACATGTAGAGTTCTATGGGAAGGTACCACTGGTTTGGATTTTTTGCTATAAAATATTTATAATTTTCTTTGAAAAACTTATACATTCAAGGTTAACGTTTTAAAAATGTTATATTTCAATTTTAGTAATAATAAAGTAGTAACATACAAATTTTAAATATTCAATAGTACTTCTAACACACTAAGCTTTCAATTACTCTTCAAACGATGCCTTTCTCTAACAAATGTCGTACCTCTCGTTTAAATTCATCATTTTCTACCAGAGGGGGTGTTGGCTCAGTGGTTAGCATACTGGTTTCGGAAACAACACCGTTGTAGAGTCTGTGGGTTCGATCCGCGATCAGAGCACTCTGATTTTTTTCTCTCTCAAAGAGTAATTAGAATTCGATCTGCAAGTTACGTAACAAGAATATGTAATATTATATATGACCTAGAAATAAGAATATATGACACATGTATCATAAACTTTATTTTAAAAAGCAATACGTGTTAAATAAAAATGGTAATACAATGATCACTGTGATTCTCCAACTATGTGTATACTACATGAAAAATTCGTGAAATGTAATTAAATTAAAAAAATTTAAACATTGTCTACCTGTGCTGCAATAAATTATTAGTTTATTTGCAAATAAACTTTATTATTATTATTATCGTTGAACACAAGCACTGTCCTACTTGTTGATACATACCATCGTATCCAAATTTTGAAATAATTACACTCCCATCTTCTCGTTTGTGAGCCATCTTAAACAGAAAAAAAGCAACATCGCATAAAATAACATTGTCGCGAACAAAAGGGGAACTGACTGTTAGGAACGTCAAACTTTAATGATGCCCCGTGGCGTTCATCCTGACAGCTGACGTTCATTATCAAAATTATGCTGCGTACGACAAAAAGTGCAAAACTTCCCACATTACAACACGGGATGACTTGGTAATTATTTTTGCCAGAAACTCGACCTAGATATGTATTTTCAACCCAATCACAAAGACCATGGAAAGTCAGACTGCCATTTTCAATTAGGTTAATGAAGCTCCTCTTCCTCCCCACTCCTTTTTTTATCCCTCTCCCTCCACACTCATCCGTTTGTCGGCAAAACGACATCCGGCTCTCGAGAACAGACATCAGACGACTCTGAAGTTATCGGCCGGCATCGTCGAGAGATCCCACCCTTAATTAATGTTATATTACGGTCGTTGCTCAACCAACTCTCGAACTTGCGATAGGCTTCATTATCTAACGCCACCCCCCCCCCCCCCCAAACTGATCCGTCGATAAACAAAGAGTTTTGTTTTACCATACACTTTTCTGATCCTTTTGTTAAAAAACCACGATAATCAAAATACGTGGATACGACACGCGTTATTAATCCCACTACGTCTGTCAGCCATATCATAAGCCCGTCTGTTAATTACCGTGATAATAATTAGGAAGAAAAGAAAAATTCTAATTAATCCAGCTTGGGTCTCCGTACAACGGATCCATGAAACAGGTGGCAGTGCGGAACGACCGCAGGCGTCAAACATACACCTCGCCAATTTAGAAGTCCGGCGTGCGGACCGAATTAAACAATGTGGCCGGCGAAATACGCGCCAACAAACGCGCAACGATCTTGTGGCCAGGGGGGGGGACTGCCTGACAAATCATCCACGTACCTTCAAAAATAAGCCCTCGCCACCGGTCTCCGTCCCCTCGTTTTAATCGTCGGCAATGTTTCAGCCGACAATATTATTGCCGTCGCGAGGCTCGTATATAAGCATTATTCAGCGGTCTACGTCGCTTGCGTCATGTGTGTGTGTGTACATGCGGTAAATTACCGAGAATGATACCCGCAATCAGTGGCTCTGAAACGACCTCCTTGATGCCAATAAGTGTGTCAATGCGAAGGAGAGGTCAATTGCCAAACGATGAATGTCCGGAAAAACTTACAAACAAATTATTTCATTTACATGCTGGTTAGTGTAGGTATAGATGTAAGATGAAAAATATCCCACACTTGTTTACAACTTAGAACGATCTCAGAACTCCTCGTAGTACTTGAAAGTAGCACATTATTATCGATACACCAAATCAGTAATGAGTCACTTGCCAGCTAGTTGTCGAGAAAAATGGTTCTGATTTTGTAATAATATCGTACTTATTTGCTTCTTCATTAAAAGACAATTCATCAATAAGGAAATTAAGAACGAAATCTAATCTGACTTCATTTAGATGTAGCACGTTTTTAAGATTTTAGTAAACATCGTGAAATTGCGATTGATTTTAATTAAACATTGAATAGAAGAAATGAATATTTGGGAGATAGCAAGCTCGCAACAATAAATAAATCGCTGGCATCACAAATCCGGAGGTGAAGGAAAGTACGAAGGGAATGAGGATTGAAAGGGGACGGGGAGAAGAAGGTGGTTCGCGCCGGAGCCACGGTATCCTCGTGCGTGTTGCGGGTCAATTAATTTTCATAATCACGAAATGGGCGCAGCCATTAGGTTGCGCGCTTACACGCCTGCACGTGTGTACCAACCATATACGTACGAGGCGTGAGTTTTCGAAGATGGGGCTAATTTCGATGAATGAGCCAAGTGCCGTGAGCTACTGCGGTTAATCGAATGACGACCAACTGTGCACATTCACGCTCGTTCGTTCGCTTCCAAGTGACGACTGGCTGAGGTAATTTTGTTGAGAAATTTGATTGTTATTTACGATTTATCGGGGAATAACATCATTTTTCTATAATAAGAGCAAAGAAGAAATTTACTGTGTCATTCGTTTTTTCAGGAGATTAAAAAGTATTGCCTAATCTTTAAATGAAGACGTACAAAAAAGTTCATTGTTGTGAAGGCAAAAACAATTTTTTTCTGAATCAATCGTACAACTTATCAGCTACGTTTTTCCATAAGAATAATATTTTTTTTCCTTTTTACACATTTTTTTTTTTTTTTTTTTTTTTTTTTTTTTTATGTAATTTGTTACATTTAAATGAACTGAAATCGTTGAAATCTAATAAGCTGATGCATCTGAGTAAACGATGCTAGACATAATAGTGGTAATTTATATCTTAAAAATTATACTAGCTTTTGTACCTACTATTGAATATGTACAGAAACCTCCTAGTTTTTTTTAAATTTTATATGATTTTGATTCTGCAAGGCTTACTTTGTATCATTCACATTACTATTGGTGTGTATTTATATGTGAACGTAGAAAAAAGTGACTGGAATTTTTACCGTAAGAACAAGTTTCTGCAAATCATCCATTTGGTGTTCAATAAATTTTAACGTATCTTTTTAATAACTAATTTCTCTTATTCAGCTACGGTAATTTTTTTCTTGATTAAAAGAAAAAATGATACACGAGATAAAATTAACATCAATTTTATTTCATTGAAAGTTACTGTGAAGTTACAGAAAAATTTACTCAAGGCCAGAATTATGATAGTAGTAAAAAATTAATTGGACGTGGACTACTTATAGTCTTAGTGTACAAACTATTTATAGAAAAAACTGTTTATTGGCTATTATTAAACCACCGGTTGCGCGGATATTCATTTAAAATCATAAAATTATAAGTTTACATTTCAACAGTGCACGTGAATTTTTAATTCGTGTTCCAGGAGGGCATGGGTTCATTGAAAGTAATCCCCGGTGGCATTGAACTGAGGGGCCAAGCAGCCATCCTCGACGCCCTGATAGCCTCGAGCGTTAAATCGAGGCGGGGCAGCAATCTTATGCTTGAGTCTTGGTCGAACTTCACCGCTTCGGCCAGGGGCGATAATGGCCAAACGCTTGCCCGATTTACTTTAAGTGAGCCAACTTTTTGTCACTTCCATCGTTGCGTTTTCTTTTACTTCCACTGCACGGGGAATAAAAGTTTTTTCGATACAACAAACGTTTTCTGTATACTATGAACTGTTTTATTAATCTTATTTTTTTCATATGTTAGTTTTGTGGTTTTACCAAAATTTTAATTAAAACTGTACTGGATAATTTTTCCTAGACAATCGCTTTACGGTGTAATATTAAGGTTTAACCATTAGCAGAAATCGTATTGAATTACTCATTATAGATTTCCTTAATCGATTTAAGATGGAAATATTGAAGAGGAACAAGACATAAAGCACGTTGACGTTCTAGTAATGGACATTAAAATAATTAACTAATTTGTACATGTATTAAAAAAGTTTTAACATTTCTCTTACATTTTTTGTGAGTATACAGTATATGTGGCACATCCTGAAAGTTTTCTCAGAACAGACACTAGAAATTACTTTAAAAAATGACTTGTAAAAGAGTCTTAACATTTTAAAGGTCGTTTAAAAATGTAGTACAATTTTATGTTGGTGTTAATATTATTTTTAAAGTCATGATCAAAGTGTGCAGATGATTTTTCATAAAAAGTTTGATTTCTGATACTTCATCAAAAACTCGTCTGACCTCGAAACGACCTTAGAAACTTTACAAAACATGAAATTCGTTTGGGCTTTTCGTGTAATTTAAAAATGTTGAATTCCATTTGAAAATCTTTAACTGAACTTTNTATAAGTGTAATTTTTTTAAAATAAAAATTTTATTAATGTTTTTCAAAGCCTTAAAAAATGATAAAATGATTGTTAGTATGAAAGTAATATGTTAAAGTAAATTTTAAAAAATTCGGAAGACTATGGCATTTTTCGATAATACTCGGTAATAAATTTTCTACGCTGGGAAATGATTACAGGTCTGCTTTTAAGGAAATATGAAGAACAAGCTACTAATTTCAAATAAAACTGGTAAAGTTTATATAGACAGAGAGATGTGTCCTTGACTTTTTGTTGGTAAGCTTTATTATTTCTTCTAGTGGCTCCCTTTTTTAAATGAGCTGTCTATCCTGTATGTGTCAATAGATATTTCTAAGCTTTTAAAACTATATATGCCCCCTGCGCGCTCTGCGCACCAACCCCCATAGTTGCAAATTAGATTTGTAAAGTATAGAAAAAAACCCGAATTATATTAATTGTTACTTGAAATTTATACATGTAACAAATGTATATTAATCATCATTATTTACATAAATTTTTAACAATCACTTTTCATTTTCCCTGTCTAATAACAACTATTTCCATGGGATTAGTAGAACACGATTTTCAAAACGATATAATTTTTGAAGAAGCATGTAACGTTATGCTGCTTTTTCAACTACGAAAATTTTTCGCGTGGTTTATTATGTCTAAAAATTTTTTTCGTAATATTGTTTAGCAAAAGCCATTTGATAATTCTTAGCCTCTATTCTGTCGAAATCAACCGTCCCGGTACCTTTTTGGACACCTCGTATATCTTTTTTTTTATTCACAGCAGTAACAATTTTACTTACAATATTCCAGGTGAGGACAAGGCCGAGTGCGTATCGAGGACCTTCCAGATAACCGATCCAAACGGTAAACTCTTGTTTTCGGCCAACAACGAGCGCGTCGTGGTGGGCGCGAAAAATCTGAAGGTCACCGGTGTTGGAGGTGCCATTTTTGAAGGCAGCATACAAACGCCACTCGTCAGTTCGGAAGCTGGGCATGACCTCAGGTTACACTAAACATCCAACCATACACTTTAAAAACTAACCTAAACGTACATTTATATCGATTTCAATGAAGACTCAATACTTTCTCAAATCTGCATGTGCATTGGTGAAGAACACATTCATATACAATACAGTACATAAATAATCACTTAAAATCATGTGTTAAGATCGAACTTATGTAGCTTTATGCTCATCACCTGTCAGTTCCATCCTCGTCCATTGACATAAATACCCATGAAAGCACCACCAAACCCCCATCCTAACCAAAAGCAACCAAGTCAACGCTGTAAAATGTGTCCCCAGGCTGGAATCAGCAACGCGGACGCTGATCGTCCGAGCGCCCCAGCGAATAAGCATCGAGTCGTCGGCGAGCGGCATAAGCGTGAACTGCCTGTCCCACCTGAAACTCACCAGCCAGGACGGGGCGGTAACGCTGGACTCGCGCAGCGTCTTCCTCAAGGGCCTGAGAACGGCTGGTGTCCAGGACAAGTCGCCCAACAGACAGCAGCGCCAAGGCGCCTCGGGTCGAGCTGCCGCCTCCGAAGGCATCGCTGTCTATCAACTCTGTGCCTGCGCCGACGGCAAGCTGTTCCTCGCGTCCCCCGAGGGCATCTGCCAGGCGGATAAGAACACCTGCTAATGCCGGGATTTTCTTTTTCTTTGGGGGCACTTTGGACATTACTTCAAACGCCGATTTTACTTTGAACGTTTTTTGTGTGTTGTGTAAGATGCTTTTTTCGGTTGAGATATCGATAATGGCGTTTTTGGACCTTTTGTTTTGCGTACAAGACGATCAAAGTGATCGTCAAGACTGACGTGGATCGATATTTGTTGGGTGAAGGTATGTTGTTTGTAGTTTTGGGTACGAAGCTGTATCGTAGTTAATGTATACGATAAAGTTATGACCCATCTTCGTACCTTTTTTTTCGAGGGAATATTATTATACACTAATGGTGCTTTAATACCTAACGGTAGTGAGAAAGTGAAATTTTATCGACGAAGAATACGATTTCGATTAAGCTTGTGCGAGGAATTACGCAAACTTTACACGTTAAACGAAAATTGAGGGGTTGATAAAATGAATATATAACGAGGAGCTATTCAATCTTACGTTGGAACTTAGAATAACTTCAGATTTGACAACGTGTTGAGTGATTTCATCATGATTTCATAACGATTCAATAATGATTTAATTGGCTACTCAATGAGCATTTTTTTATTAAATCAGTGTATTTTCTTTATTCTAATAGGAATGCTTCATTAAAATACTGATATAATTCTTAGATCACAACTTCGTCTGGAAATAAAATATAAATCCTTTGAAATGAATGCATAATAGTTCAAAATGGCCAATAATAGTATATAAATGCTGATCCAGCTGGTACATACTTTTAAGCACTAAATTAAAATTTACTTTTAGAAACAAAGCTCGAAACATTTTTTCCCTGACAATATGTTTGAATTTCAATTACAGAATAATTTCATTGGATTCATGAGATTTCAGATTAATTACATATGATTTCAATGATTTCAGACGATTTCATGGACTGAATAACTTCTCGATGTATAACGAATAAAAAATAATTTAAGCCATTAGTACGGTTACGATCGTTCATTACCACAAATGTATATTTGATGTAGATTACGCAAATATTATATGAAAGTTAGAAACAATATTTGTAACGAAACAACGTAACTATGATAAACAATTTAAGGTTAGTTGAGGAAAATAAAAAAAAAATAATAAAAAAGTTGACAAAAAATGAATTACGTATATTTTCGTCGCTTGCGCTGATTGTAAATAAAGCTGTTCGTTATCATATTCCGTGTAAATTGTACCTATACGACCATTATTCGTGCGTCGATCGCTATTTTCCGTCGGATGGCAAGCTTTTGTAAATAATCTTCACTAATTTCAATACCGTAGTCATGAATAACCCTTTCACGAGCGAACGCGATCGTGGAATCGTGGAATTTTTTTACGAAGTGTTCATATTTTAAAGTCGCTGAATGCAATGCAATGTATCTTTAAAACGCAGTCGAGAGCAAAAAGTTAAAAAAAAAGTTTAAAATGAAAAATAAATTTCCAACAGCGTTTCTAAGAAGTAAAAACATAAAGGAAGAAAAAAAATTTTAAGTATCTAGTTATACCGACAAAAAGCTTGATGAATCTCTAGCAAGCCTCTTAGCAGTCGCATCAGAGTACGTGCTTTAAAGGAAAGCCGTCAATAAGCTTCTGTCGGAAAAAAACACGCTTCGCAACGCCTGAGTTTCAATATTGCAAAAAAGTAGGGTGAGAAGAAAAAAATGAAATAATACGAATAAAAACCGAGTTTTTTCGATTGTCAATGTTTAAGTATAGATACAAATGAATAGTTTCGAATTTTCGTTGCAGTGTATTTTTCGACAGAACCGCGAATTTTTTTCCTTAGAGGAGAAAAATGATTAACGAGTGACAAAAGTGCATTTAAAGCGATGTGTGTGTGTGTGTGTGTGTGTGTGTGTGTGTGTCTAGAAGTGTCACCAGCGAGCTGTCCGTGATGTATATCTTGTATATCAATAAAATTTAGCGATCATGGTTGAATATCTACGATTTTCATAGACCCATGGACCCTTACTCTTTTTATTATTATTTTTCCTGAGTATTTTGATTCTTGCACGTACCGTTTGTGCATTTTATGGCTTCAATCAGATTTTTTTTCTTTTTACTCGAGATACAAGAAATATTTATCTCAATGTTTTGTAACGTCAAACTAAGAAACGATAACTAAATTTCTTCAATCTATGTAGTTTGGGATTGTTTATCGAACAAATCGTTTTTTTTAATATTATTATGAATATATTTTTCTAAGCTAATTATTTTATGATTTTAAGGTAAAGAAAAAATTTACTTTTTTACGGCTGTTTGCAAAAGGTAAGTATTTGATGATAGTGTGTTTACAAAACTTAAGAAAATGCCTCTGCATTCAAACACAGATTGGAAAGTAGTAGTGATTTCTGTGATTACATTAAGTTTTGTAAGGTTTTTTTTAACTTGATAATAAATTAAAAAGTCAAAAATAATTGTGTTTTTTTTTTTTTTTTAAAGTTTAAATCAAATGGTTGCTTTTTAAGTTAAGTCCCGGCCTCAATTTTAAGTCGAATCTCAATAAAAAAATACGCAAGTATTGAAATTGATTAAGAAAACTTCTTCACACGTGTTTCCTTGGTTTTTTTTTTCGAAAATAATAGCTTCCATGATACTATTTCATTTAATACAAGAAAGCCTACAATATTGTTAAAAAGCATGCGTAACTGAGTAATCAATGATGTATATATGATATATTATATGATAATTTAAGTTTCAAAAAATTATTAATTTCAAGCAGTATAATTTTTATACGTGATATCTATAGTAAAAAAAATGCAAAAAGAAAAAAATTATAAATACAATTTCGAATTTCTTCCAACAAGATCATTATTTTCCACATATTTATATGGAGTTTTAAAATTTGGGTCTCAATTATTACTTTCTGTAGTCCTCAAGCTCATTAAGCGAATTGTTAAATACCAATAACAAGTGTGTACCAACAACAACAATAACAAAGACAATTGTCAGTAAATTTTAGTGGTGACACGACAGTATTTGCTTTGATCATACTCTGATATATTTATACTTATAATACAACAAAAGTTAACAAAATGAGAAATGTTTTTTTATGTAAAATATAGGAATAGAACAATATTATAATTGTACACATTGATCGTACACATGTAAAGTTATTTATATTGTATGAAAGTTATCAAAGTTACGTAGTAAAAATGTTAATAACAAATTCAATTTAGTAAAAAAAGTAAAGTGTCTTTAACAAACAAATTACACAAGTCATGAGGGTATTACATATTTAATCATTTTACAAAATGCCTGGTAAGTGAACGCCACAATCACTTTAATTTTTGGTTAAAAGAATGACTTAAAAAGTCTGGATTATGTAAAATATGAAATGTATCCACAAAATACAACACATAATTTTTGTCGTTTATAATAAAAATTTAATCGATTGAAGTAAGCTAGAGATTATATTCATACTACTTATGATTTGAAGTACCATCGCAGTCAATTTTCGTGCGGAAACTCTTCGTACAACTGTATGTCTGGTCTGAAGAAGATAAAATGATGGCTCATTTGAAAAAATGACTGTTGTAGAAAAAAAGTGTCCAACTCCAACTCATTTCTCAAAAATCCAAATAATAATAGAAATATGGTCTAAAAACTACATTTAGGCTACTTCGATATTTTTCAATGATACCTTTAAACATCACTGATGGCGTATAAACGCGACGGACTCTTTACTCAAACGACGACTTGTGCACGATAAAACATCACCAGCTGGATTACAGGGGAAAGTTTTACTGTCCACCGATACAAAACCCTCCCTAAAAGAAAACTAAAGCCAATTCCGCAGCTGTGTCCCCACAGACGCGCCTCACTAAATTACACTACCCTCCTTCCCATCCCATGCAGGGCGGAATCGAGTTACGATGCTTTTTCGGGATAGAAATAATTGAAAATTCGCAAGCGAAAGAGAACACGGAGCTGTAAGTCTCCATTACGAAATACACAAAAGAGCCTCGTATAAGTGAGGCCCTAAAAGAGGGAAAATTGTTACGAGTCCAGCGCACCTATGCAGTTATGACTGTCGGTGGATGGTCTTTTGGACTGTCTATGCTTAAAAAGGAGGAACTAGAAGAACCTGATGTACAGCTTTTTACGCCTCCAATTATTTTTTAGCCTCGAGTATTAAAGTTGGCGATGGTTAGACCCTTAATACCGCACAATGTTTTAAAGATGTTTAAAAATGAAAGTTGTTTTCAAAACCATGAAAGACTCCAAAAAAAGCTTGAATAAAGTTTTAAAAATTTTTACATAAACATCAACGGTATCTACAGCTTTTTGTGACTTAAACTCTAAGGATTCCATACGCGTTAATGTGAATGTAAATGGTAACACCTTAAAGAACACACTAAGCTATTTTTCAATAATTTTTCTCTTGATTCTTACACCAATTATGTTTAATGTTATCAATACGGTAACACCTGACTGACACACTAGCCATGTACGTATTATAAAAAGTATATATTTCTTTTCTCACCAGACTAGAAGCACCAGACACTTCAAACTTTATTGCTACACTATTTTCAAAACGCTGTCGGATTTTAAAAACAACAGTTTTAAAAAGACGCGTGCTAATGAGAGTACGTGTTTATTATTTAAAATGACATTTTCCCTTCACAGCCCTTTGTGCACCGTGGCCCTTTGAAAACACCTGATGGTTAATTCGAGTAAAAATGCAAGTCCATGGACGAACGCGAGGAAAACAGTTTAGGGAGAAGTGAGTGCAGGGTGGATTCCGCGCAAAATAAGCCCGTGGGGGGAGGGAATTGCTAATCTCCGTGCCGCCAATTTACGAATTTTCCATCCGACTGCAGGCGTGGAGAGAAAAATAAATTAACAGGAAAAAAAAGGAAAAATCTCTCTCGCGTGCCAAAGGGAAGGTGTGCACGTGCTGGAGGCATCGGGAGAGCAATTTGTAGGGCCACTGACAGGTGGGTAATTTTCCGACGGAATTCGAGATTAAAAACGCGCGCGCCCTGGAGATGTAAACCGTGAAACTCTTAGGATGGGAGGCGGAAGGGGGTGGAAAAGGAACAAAAAAATAAGCGAGTGCTGTCTATCCACCTTTTTTCGCGCGCATACAACTCGAGCTTGAAAGCTTGGGCTGTTGCTCCCATCTGCTTATAAATCAAGTGCACTCGGGTCGAGGGTGCTCGGGCGGGTTACCCGATCGGGTGTTCGAGAGCGCTTTGTCGGGCGACGCTTAGGGGTGTTGTTGTTGTTGTTTACCGAGGAATCACCAAACCATCGAGATAATAGGGCTTGTGCTTGGTTTGGAAATTAAATTGAAAATTGATCCGAGACGTTCTGATATTGCGCGAGTTGGATACTCCGCGGCTCGCGGAAGGTGGTAAAAAATTTTAAGTGCACGTGATGGACTGCAACACGTTGTGGCTTAGTATTGCGCGAGTAATAATTATTTCACCCCAGGGAAACATCATCTTAAATGGGGATAATTGGTTACAGATGACAAAACATTTTTCTCCTGATTATAATACTTTTTGCTTTCTCACAGAGGAAGCTTTGTAATGGACGAAAAATCGCATTGAGATAAAATCGTGCAAAATATACTTTTCCACCCTCGGGTGGTTTTGGAAGGCTGGTACTTCCTCGGGCGAAAAAGCAGTTTTCCGGAACTCGTTCGAAAAGTCTCCTTTACAAACCTCGTTACGTCCCTCGCCTTCGGCTCGAGCCGCAAACCTCTCGGTTCGCAAACAAAGACTTTTCAAACTCGTAGGAAAACTACTATTTTGTAGTTTAGAATCGAAGT